AACGTAAGAGAGATTTGCGGACACGCTTGCGGATTTTATAGTTGTGACAGGGGAGACGGAAGGGAAAAAAAACGAAGGGAAGGTTGGGGCGTAAGAGGAGAAGCAGGAGGAGAAGACTTTGAGAGGAGTGCTCCGTGGAAGCCATGTTGATCCCTCGAGTCTCAAGGTTCAACCAATTTCATTCGTCGCGCAATAGGAAGATCCTATTGATCCATGCACCTGATTGGTGAGCGGGAGCTAAGGATCGACCGGGCGTCGTGCGCTAGATCAGAGGGTGAGAAGGGAAAAGGCGTGAGAAGTAGCGCAAGACGGGTCCAAGCTTCAGAGGATCAAGAAAGGGAAATGAGCGCGCAAAAAGCAAAGCGGGAGAGAGAAAGAGAGAGAAAAACAGTTACGAGGAGAGAGAAAGAGGAGGGAGAAGGGAAGGGAGCGTGAGAGGAAGCGATGCGGGGGACAGAGAGGAGAAAGCTTTTGCATGCGCGGCGCCGTCAACAAAAAGAGGGAAAAAGGCACCGAAACAGTTACAACTTGCCTCTATCCTAATTCAAAATTGAAATCACCATATCCGCACACAAAAAAGCGATGCGGGAAAATAAAATCCTACGCCTATTCGTATTCGAATAAAATTCCGAGAGTTTTCCCCAACGCGACCGAGAACATTCACACACAAAAAGGACACGTTGAAGTTCCGCTTATCCCGAAATTTCCAACTGTCGGGCTCAATTCCCAATGCACTCGCTAAGGCGCACGTAAATTCTCATGCATTTTCCGACTTGCAAAAAGAAAAACAGAATTCGGGAATCGTAAAAGCTTTCCAAAGATGGGAGCCAAAAAAAATGCGGCACCTCAAATCTAGAAAATATAACGGGTTTTTATGGGGTTGGTATGATACAAGCAAAAAGGGTACGAAAGATAGCAGGGGTTCGGGAAATGGTTCGTCACATGGAACAGGGCATGGGACTGGGAAAAGGAAATGATGGTTTTTAGTCTAGTGTGGGTCTGAGAGTTTTCGATCTGAGGGAGGACGAGGGTAAAGAAGATGAGTTTCTTCTCCAGCCGAGCGGAAAACTAATTGTATAACCCCCGGACATGACCAGGGGGATGCCAACCACACGCAGCCGAGTGCGGCCAAGAACCCCCAATATTTTTTTGGGGCCCAAAAAATACGAAAAAAGCAAAAACAAAAAGGGCATGTAGGGGAAAAAGCCTCTGGGCAAAAAAATAAAAAACAAAAATTGAAAAAAAAAAAACAAACGGTGATGAAAATTTTTATTATTATTATTTTTTTTAATTACATCATATTAAACTTGCAATAACCCATGCCACATGTCTCGTAGATTTTCTGAGGGCCTTACCAGGCCGCACTCAGACACAGGCTTGACAGGGGGAAAAGAACCCCACGTAAAAATTCAGGGCCTGAATCGAACAGTCAAAGTCAAAGTGTACCCAGAAGGGACACAGGCTGAAGGGAGGGAAATAAACCCCACGTAAAAATTCAGAGCTTGAATCCAACAGTCAAAGTCAAAGTGTACCCAGACCAGGCTGCCGGTCAGACGCACACACTTGTTTGTATGTAGGTACCTAGACATCATCAGGACAAAAGAGAAATCTGCAACTGTACAATCCAGTCCCTCGGCTGTGAGTCAATCTGCACGACTGTGGAAAGGGGACCTGAGGCCAGACAGCCTCGCCAAATGCTACTTAAGGCTGGGTCTCCGGGTGGTCAACATTCAGTCTTGCTATGCTGCTTTGACGCTGGCTCGACTCTGACTGCACGCTGGCATTGACGCTGGCGAGACGCTTGCTGTGCCCATGCACTGTGGAGAGAGTGTGGACGACGACACACGACTGTGGCAGCATGCTGGCGCTTTCTGTTCTTAGTGCTAGACATTGTTGATGTGGCGTTGCCACCTGTCTACCTTGCTGATGTGGAGCATGCACCTGTCTACACTGCTGGCATGACGCATGCCATTTGTCTACATTGCTGATGTGGCACATGCCACTTGTCTCCATTATGATCATTGATGTGGCGCGGCCACCTAAGTTACCTAACTACATTGCATTGTTGATGTGGTGCTGCCACCTGTCTTCATTGTTGGTGTGGCGCATGCCACGTGTCTCTATGGCTGACGTGGCATAGGCCACGATGTCCACATGTGGTGACTGGTTGCGGCAAGGAGGGGGATCGGGATTTGTGGATGATTGGGATCTGGTACTCACCTGAGGTCGACGTCGTTACCGTATGTTGCTGTTGTCTTCATGATCTCCATGAGATAATAGTGTCATGTGGAACTTCGGTGTGATCAGAACTTATCAGACTTGTATCGTATATTGGTTGATGATGTGGAGGTGAGAGGAAGCCTGGAGAAGAAGAGGGGTTTTATTGGGCTACTCTTGTGTGCTCAATACTCATTGATTATCTCTTCCACCTTCTCTTTTGTCTATTCTCCATCCACTCTCTTTGTCTTTGGTAACGAGATATTGTGTCATAGATCACTTCACATTAGCTGGAGACATTATGCAGATCCGAGTCTACTTGTGCTTCGACGTCTGTTGAGTATCTTCCAGTCTAGGTTCACTACATTTTGGTACCGGAGCATATTCCCTAATCGCAATTTGTTTCCAGGTGCTGACATGGCACCGAGGTAAGTGGGCGATGCCACATGTGCAGGACATAACACGTTTATGAACGTGCGTGGTCAATATCGCAGGTCTAGACATTGAGTACCTCACTTGTGTGCAACCTCCATTGAAGATGATGGTGTGACTATACTGAAAACTTTGAGATACCAGCAAGAGCTTCGTTGGCAATAGGCTGATGTGGCACTGGTCCGGAGGGAGAGAAATGTGACATCAAAACTGCTGATGTGGTGCACTGCCTACGTGGAATGCTAATGTGGCATTCTGGCAAGGCATGGTATGACGTGGCATGTATATGTGTTGTGATAGCTTGTTGATGAAGCGCTGACGTGACATGCCAATGTTGTGTGTGTTGCAGACATGCATTGTTGATGTGGCATCCCCCCCTCGTAGACCTTTTAGGTCCTTGACGCTGACGTGGTTTGCCTCCATAGAGTTGCTGCGTTGGCATGTCAGGGATGACACGTGGCATGCATAACACGCTGCTGTGGTAGAACTGTTGAGTGTGCACTTTTGCGTCGGCAGACAGTACGATGTCACGATTTGTTGTAGTGTCGAGTGTTGGCCTTGGGTTTGGTTGCATTGTTTCTGCAAATGGTACAACCGTAGAGGAAGGAAACTAACAATTGATTGATGTTGTTGTGTTGGTTGACCTACTCACCTGTGTTTTGTTCGGTGGTTGCTATGCATACTCACAAGTGTGCTATTATCTGCATCACACTGTTTGTGGCCGCGGTACCTGTACACTTTACACTTGTTGTAGGACGTCATCGCACATAGAACCGACGACAAAGTTAGATTAGAGAAGCAACTGAGAACCTATTTCTTTTTATCTGCCTCTATTATTTCTTGCTGTAGGAATTGCATGTGTCATGGAATTTATTTTTATCTTATCATTTTGTTTATTGTGTGCAATGTGTGGTATTTACACGGAGCAGGGAAAAATGACTTCAACAGAAAAATTCCTATGAGAAATGAAAGTTGAAAAAACATTCCATAAAAAAAAAATTCTTCATATTTATAAATTATCATTCCAATGTTTGTCCAATTTTAAAATTTCCAATTTAATTTGATAAGTTTCTGTCTAAATATGAGTTTTCCCTTCCAACTACATCTATTTGTTCAAGATGGAATGAAAGTCTAGACGAGTTTATGAAATGTTTTAATTAGACGTTCATTCTACTACAACAAATATCGTCTAATTTAGATTGGATTAACCTATTTATGACTGAAAGTACTTACTTAGAATGGCATTCCAATTAAAATATTTCATGAACTCATCCAGATTTTTATTCCATCTCTAGCATGCAGTTCAAATAAGAAGGGATACCCCAAGTATAGTACTTTAGGCTTAGTGAATTCAGACTTTTTAGGATTGAATCTAAAGTTGTCTTCGCGCATTTTCTGAAGAACCATTTGTAGATGGTTTTTGTGATCCTTAAGTGTTTTGTTGTACACGAGGATATCATCGAGATAGACAATTATGAATTGATCCAATTATTAACGGAACAGCTCGTTCATGGACCTTTGAAAGGTTGTGGGGGCGTTAGTCAATCCGAAGGGAATAACCACAAATTCGTTGTGACCATACCTGGTTCGGGAGACCGTCTTATGTTGATCCTTAGGAGCCAACTCCATCTGATGGTATCCTGACTTGAGATCAATCTTGCTAAAGTACCTACATCCCTTTAATTGGTCCAACAAATCTTCAAATGTGTGAAAGTGGCTCCGGGTTTTTGACAGTGACAATATTCAGCCCACGCCAGTCGATACATAGTTTAAATTCACCTTTCTTTGTAGACACGAATAAGACAAGAGTACCATAAGGTGATGAGTTGGGTCGAATCCATCCTTTCTTAGTAAGTTCTTGTAGTTGCTTGCACAATTTCCTCAAGTTCCCTATGAGACATTCGGTAAATGCGACCCTTAAGAATCTTCCTTCCGAGAATAATCTCGATCGTGTGCTTAATAGCACACTTTGTGATTCTCGTCGGTTCAGTCTATAAGTCCTTATATCAGTTGATAAGTCTTTTAATATAAGGAGGATAGGATGAGAAGCATTCATCTACTCGTTTAACGAGTATCATCGTTACATCCTGATTCAACTTCTTCTTACAGACCATTAACCTAAAAGCTAGGTGGCTCATATAACAAAAAATAAGGTTTCGTCAGAGTCAGACCTATGGACCATGTATAACTTTATCGCTCCAGTTTCGGACTTCTCGTCCTTTAACTTGACAATTTTCTCTCTGAGCCTGACTTCTAGGTCGGCTTTCTCATGCCAATCCATTCCCGGAATATATCAAACGGCAGGTTATTTTCGATTAGGAAGGATATTTCGTGTAAAATTCTATTTATTTCTTTGTTCTGAAATAGCACTTGACACGATCGACGTATTGAGAGACAGTGATCATGCTCTTATCAGCCAGCACAGACGTGATAGGCTGATGTAAATTATTTACCTTCATTCCCATATGCAATTTGGGAATTGTTTTCTTTGAGATGTAAGACAAGATCGATCCTAGATCTAACAGTGCACCAACCGACATGTGCACAATCTCAATATCCGCG